AGGGTCTCTCTATGTAGTTGAGACTGACCTGGAACTCACTATGTAGCCCAGGCTGGTTTTGAACTCACAGCGATCCTCCTGCCTCAGCCTCCCAAATGCTGGGATTATAGGCATGAACCACCACGCCCAGCTACCACTGAGATTTCTTGTATATATTTTAAGATGGGTGGCTTTACTTATTTATTACTCATACTTACAAGATGCTTAACAGATAGTTTTTGCTAATCATATTTTACTGGCCAAATATTTGGAAGCTCCTCAGAGTGAAAAGTAAAAGATTTACAAGGTTTTAAATTCCATGTTTACCTTTCAAAAAAAGAGTTAGTGAAGCAGAGAATTATGAAATTTCCCCATTGGACAAACATTGTGCCCTCAGGCTTGTAAGACATTTATCTGTTTCTGTTTAACTTGAGCTTCCTGAATTCATTCTAGCTGGCAAGAGGCAATGTCCTCAGGTGCATCCCCAGGCTCTCCAGACCCCAAAGGGAGCATGCACCTTAAATTCAATTGCACTGTCTCACTGAAAGAGGCTCTCAGGTTTTGTGAGGCCAGAAACTTAAACCATTCAGGAGTAGAGAGATTCTTGTTTTTAAGAATTGCACAAAGTTACATTCAAAATAAAATATTTAGAAGGCCTGGTACAAGTGAGGACCCTGTGGCCTGGGCATGTGCCCAATGGTCTGCCTGCCTCTGGACACCCCCCACACCCCAATGTGGCCCTTTTCCTCACCTCACTCATGGCCCTGTTCCCATCTTCTACATTTCTTTCTCTTTCTGTCACATCTGTTTCTGTATGTTTCTCTATTGATCTGTCTATTGAGCCAGGCTCCCAGGTCTTTTAGCCTTAAGAATGAGCCTCTCCTCTTGCCTCTTACCATTTTAACTTAGCCTTTGCTTGTTCAGGGACCACAACCCAGGGGCACCAGTGGCGGAGTGATTGTACATTTGTCTTGGTAAAAATTTAAGTTAACAGCGCATTGAGACCTGGGCCCTCGGTGACAGGCAAAGGTACAAACATTAGTAGAAAAGTGTGAGCTGAATATTTTTCTTCTGTCTTGCTTGATACAGTTGTAAGACAGGCTGTGAGTCTAGGAGGCTGGCTCCCCCTGGAGTTGTACACTGCCACCCTGCTTTCTTTTGCCTTCTTTGCACAGGTTCTATTAGTACAACACAATGGTGTTAAATGCATATTTACTTCTTGTACATAGCTCGTGTTTACCAAAATAATGTACATTTCTTATAGCCATTTTCATTCTCCTTATAAACTGAAGGCAGAAATCCTATCTATCTCTGACTCAGGTTCCTCTCTCCCCACCTCTTTGTTGTTGTTGTTGTTGTTGTTGTTTGTTTTGTTTTAGGCATTGGTGAGAGTCAATGTGAAACTAAAGCCTATGCTGGATTCAGTGGCTGCAAACCGAAGTAAGTGGGAAGAGTTGCACCGAAAAAGACTGCTGGTCTCAGCTGCCTCCCCATCCTCAACCAGCCTCATGGTGGCTGAAGAAGACGGAAACTAAACCTCTGTCTTCTCGGAGCTGCTGCACAATGAGTGTGGCCTGAAGGACCAGCTCCAACCCAGCCATCTCATCCTTTTGTTCTCATAGCTCAATCAGACCTGAAGTCTTGGGGATGTGGATGCACTGGGAAGTGTTCTGGGCTCTCAGCATGGAGTGCTCAGCAGCTGAGAACAGTACAGAAGCTCAAAGAAGAGGAGCGTGGAGCCTCAGCTGCCCCTGATGATTGCACATGGGCTGAGACAAAGGCTTTCGGTACAAGACTGGTTTGGACCCGCAGACCTGGGGACAGCCAGGTCTGCCCAGTCTGAGTTGAGGGAATATGGAACAGTGAAAGCATGCTTACTGCTGCTTCATTCAGTATATGCGCTTCAATCTGTTACGAGCCAAACACTGCCTGATTCTGTAGCCTTTCCTAGAGTGCCCTTTTAGGCCAGACTGTCCCAGGAATCCAGCTTTGTATTCCATAGAGGTATTTTATTTTCAGTCCTACAGCTTCTTTTTTTTTTTTCTTTTAAAGATAAATAAGATGGTTTATCTGGGGAAATAAAGGATGAAAAAACAAGAGGATAGACAGCTACCATGTGGTGCAAGGGGACATCAGGGCCGAGTACCACACCTACAGCTTCTTGATGTCAGATCAGAGCCTCCAGAATTGCCTACCTGGAAGATAAAAGCTATACTACCCTTATAGACACCAACCAATCCTAATGCCCCCAGAAGTCCATAGCAGTAATGCAGCAGATGTGTTTGTGTGATTGATGTTTACATAAGATTTGTAACCTACAGTGAGATCATGGTCCTACTTTGCAGTTTTCAAATTCAGCCTTCATTGTAAACCAAGACTTCTCCCAGGAGAAATGGATTCATAAGCTCTAATTAAAGCAAAGAGGAAAGGAAATCTATAGCTAGATTTACCCCCCCGCCAAGTGACCTAAGAACATCTACGAACTATTTCCAACAATGAGAGGTATTTCACAGGACACACAGCAGAGCATTGGAAACTGAACACTGACTAGCTTGAGTTCTACCAAGGACAAGTTCTGGTATGAAATATTCTACCACTAACCAATGTAAAGCCAAATGCAGGAATCCTCAATTTTATATTAAGTGTAAGAAAGGATGTTTGAAAGGTTAAGAAACAATAGTCTGGGCAGAAAGCACATATTCTATAGGAAGTCAGCCTCATAATAAATAAGAATAAACTCTATTGAATAGAATGCCTCTCAGCCGGGGTTTTAGCTCAGTGGCACTATGCCTGCCTCGCAAGCACAAGGTCCCGAGTTCGATCCCTGGTACCAAAAAGAAAAAAAGAAAAAAAAAAAGAATCCCTCTCTCTCTTTACCTGAGGGATTGAGAATTGGGTGTGTCTTATCCAAAGAATGCTAGGCTAGAAGTTAGACTTTTACTGTATTTTTGTCACTATTGATTGGATGACCGGGGACAAGTCATTAAACTTTTCTGCATTTGTTTCCTTATTTGTTAGATGAGTTTACAGTGATTTTTAAACATGTATTAATTTTAGAGCTCTCTGTTAAATAAATCTTTCAGTGAATCTCCATAATATTAGATATCTAAAAACTGAAGTTCTCTGCTTGAAGAAGTTTGTGGATCTATAGTCCCTACACATCTTCACCTCTGGTTATTTACCTGGTGGTCCACAAAGGGACTCTGAGGACTTTGAAAATCTCTGCACTAAATGAAACCTGAGATTTATTCCAGCTCTGAAAAATCTAAAATTTGCAAAACGTTTTTTAGTTCTTATATTCACTGATCAGTATTAGTTACTAATGTTACTAACCGAATCTTAAAGAAATAGGGGCCAGGCTCCACAAGGACATTATTTCCCTGGCACGCAGGAGTCACTTGGGAAATGTTTGAAAAAGAAATTAGTAAAATTAAAATGTGAAAATGGAAGTTAGGGAAAACAGATAATCATAGAGAAGAAATAAGTTTTGTTATGGCAAGAAACAAAGTAAATTACAACCCAGACAAGGAGAGGGAATAATGGAAGGAGAAGGACAGAAAAAAAAGACCAATAAAGAAAATATAGAAAATGAGGCAGGTGCTAAAGGGGGCTGCCAAAGGAAAAGGGAAAGTCAATCCAGACAAAGAAAAATGGCACTTCCAACCACAAAATGGAGGTGTAGAATCTCGTCAGTTGTTTAAGATAAAGACAACTGAGCAGGGAGGGGTTTGACCAAAAAAGAGAAGGAACGAATGGGAGCCCTAAAAAAATAATGTTTCTGGCCACCCTTTACAGCTGTCTCTGCAGGGAAGGCTGGAGAAACTACAGGAGAAAATGAGTGCAGGAAAAATTGCCTCTGCAGAGCAGGTAAGAGGAGGTCGTTCCGATTTATGGATTTTATTAAGCCAGTTTTCTGAATCACTCCTCCATAAAGGAAAATAGCTTCTGCAGGGCTGTCTCTCTTCCTTCAGGTGAGAAACAAAGGCTGGGTGGAGTTAGGAGCAGACGGGTCTGCGAGATCCTCAGGCATCTGCAGCTGCGAAGCGCTGCAGGTGCTTCTGGTACTGTGCCATATCACGACGATCTCACAAACGGGAATTGAAAATCAGTCCGTGTTGAGGCAGAGATGAGCGTACATCTGTTAACTTCCCCGACAGAGAATAAATAAATAAATAAGTAAATGGCCAAGACAAACGGACGCCAGTCCGTGCACAGCAACATTCGAAAGCACAGGCTTTATGATAAAACTGGACGTAGGGTCGGTGAGAGACCACAGGCAGCTATAAACACAGTAGCTACCCTGAAGCTTGATGCTGCATATTGCTAAGGGGAACATAATTTATAGCACAAACCCTACAGCTTCCACTAAGGTTGAGTTTTACTCTCATTTTCTTGCCTTTTTATTGGCTTCACTGCACGGTTGCCAATAGCAACATCCACTGGTAGCAAGGGGAGTTCAACACCATTGCAATCTGCCGTACAGCGGAGCCCTGACAATGTCAACCATCAATCAAGTAGCTGTTTGTAATTGCCTCCATCTATTTCTCCTGTCTCCAGATATCCTTCCTATTGTGGGTCAAGATTCAGAAACTGCTGACTAATGCCACGATCTGTCCCTCCATGACCACGAAGCAGTGGAAGTGAGGGTAGCAGCCTTCTTGGTACCAACAGCCCTGGGGGTTGGAGGTTGAACTTCTGAAAATTTGAAGTACTTTTAATCCCTTTATAAAATAATTTATAATTTCCAAGAATGTGAGGTACACGTGGTTTGCCATATAGTTTGCTTTTCCAAAACAAAGAAAAAGAAAACTCCCCAGTCCTCATTATTAGTGTTTATTATAATTATCTAAGTAGTCCTTCTATTGAAGGGAGGCATTCGAAATGTGAGCCTCCTTGCAAAACCTCAAACTGACCAGATTAAGTATGCTTCCTGGGGCCTCTTGAGACTAAGAGTTGAAATGACATCATCCTATATTTTCTATGAGAGGTATTTTTTTTCAGACATAACATTTATTTATTATTAGTCAATATTGCAAATAACACCCATTTGGCCTACAATACAGCCTATCCTGACAGGTAAGAACAGAGTGGTATTCTGTGAGAGTCACCATCCAGTGCACAGTAGACTGAGGCTCCACCCTACCTGGCCACTGGCTGGACCGGTAATCTTGGGACTGTCCAGGTCTTAGGTTTTCCATCTGTTAAATAAAAGCAATGACATTTATTCCATTTCCACACCAAAGAATGAGCTGTGTTTTGCTTTTTAAATTTTTTCTAAAGCGTTTTATTTTTTCTTCTCAGATACAATACTACCAAACCTAACGAGGTCATCTTCTCACTAAAGATAGAATAAAGAATTACATGTGTGCAGTATATATAAAAACAATATATATTTTTAAAATGTATCATATGGTCACTGATACATTTTGAAAATATATATCTGTAATTTCATCCAGAACAATTTTAGATTTTCTCATTCATGGGTATCCCATAAATGATGTCATTTATTTATAAGTAAATTTATAAGGTGAGTCAAAAAAGTTAGCATTGTATGTGCATTTTCTGTTTCTAAAATCTGAGGTGCCTGTGCATTTCCAGGTATTTTATATTTGCAAACATTGGATTAAAAATAATCTTCACATATTTTGTATTCGAGGAATGGTAATATATTAATTCTCCTGGAATTTGGTTGCCTTTTCTGTGTATTAAATTTTATCATACTTTATTCATTTATCTTAAGTCATTAAACAATCTGCTCAATTTACTCTGCAGTACAATTATTTTGAAACCTATTTCTAAAACAAAAACAATTTTTAAAAAATCCATTTTTCCTGATAATTCTTATAAATTTCAGAAAGACAAAAAGACAGTCTCATCTCCAGTAACAGTGTGAAACAATTTCCTTCAAGTGGGACAGAAATCTAAATATATTTGGGAAAGAGTTAAATATAAAGAAAAATGCTTTGGCTGGCGGGGGAAAAGGCAAAAAGGATTTATTAAAGCCATGGAAACAAAACTAATTTGGAACCTTAAAAACTGGCGATGTCCCTGCAGTGAAGTTTTATTATTTGCCTCAGAATAATGGTCTCTGAAATTGTTATTCTGCCATGTGCTGTAAAGAACTCCCCAAATTCAAATGTACTAGGAATTTAAAGGTTAAATCTGGCTTCAAGGCCAAAACTTCCTAAGTTTCCTAAGTGAACAATAATAGAATAAAACATATGGATGGCAGAAATAAAATGAGGTGTATCTAGAGAATTTCATGGTGAGCATTTCTATTTAGCAATGCCCAGTGTTGTCCATATCACTATCTTTCCCTTAACTAATCATTTTTGGTTGTGCATCTACTTTAATTTTGAATATTCTTGCAGATTTGCTATCTCTCTCAGCAGTGCTAAAAATAAATCATCTATCTGTGTAGCATATCTACACCAATGTCACTGAACGTATACACTGGTACAGCAGTATGTTTATTAAGCAAATAAAATTTTTGCTGTGAAAAGTGTGTTCTTTAAGATTGTCATTTATCTTTGTGTTCACTTTCTATGTACATATGTTTATATTAAAATCTCAATTTCTCATTTGCTTTAGATTAAATCATATTTAGATGAATTAAAAACAAGCATATAGTGTGAAATAGGAAGCTAGGTTTCGTTGAGCCTCATTCCCTGGGGGGAGGAGGGGATATTGCTGTTACCATTTTATTTTGATGTACAATCATCTAAAAAGGATCCCCTACTGACTTGCTTCCTAATTATTATTGTTTTACACTAAACAAGGGAAATATGTCTTCAGCTGAGTTGTTTGCAGCCATTCCCTTTGTATTTCCCAGGCTGATGTTTCTTTGTAAGAATGCTACATTTTAGACTGCATGGTCATTTCACGAGCAACTAATCCATGATTTTAAATAGACTGCTTTAAGAGACATAAATACCTTTGTTTTTTATAAAATGCTTAATATTTAATGAAAGCTCTGGAATAATCTTTATGTCCTTCAGAAGGCTGAGAAAAAGAAGTATGGCTCTGAGAACCTACAACTGAAATTCTGATCATGAACCTTGTCTTGATCTGTGACGTCTGCCTCTCTGAGAGGACACTGGGACAGCATTTTTAAAATGACAAAGGTTCTTCGAATTATTTAAGTGTTTCTGGAGGTAGGAGACTGCAGCCAAATGCTGGGTCCCTGTGTCCTTTACACATTGCTCAAATTTGCATGGGCAATTACACAGGGGGATTGCATCAATGCAGGGCCGCCATACAATTACACAGTGGCTTCGGTGCTTAAACTTTAAAATTCTTACACCATTGTGCCTGTTCTATTAGAACAAACTGCAGCAAATGATCCAAAGCCAATTCCAGTGACTGGAGAGGAGGTGCCCAGGGAGAGAGAGAAGGGGTGCAGTGTGGCCCACTACTGGCCAGTGTAAGCAATCACTAGTGCTGGCTTTGGCAACTGCTGTCATTTTTGGCTTTACAGTCTGCAGTTTTAAAGTGGGGTCAACAATAAGAATCCCCTAATTCACAAAAGGGCTGTGAGGATTAATGAGGCAAGTTAGGCAAAGCAGGCCTGGTACTAAACTGCCTGCATAAACACAGGGCCTAGATTAGCTCTTTGTTTGGATGGACGGGTGATTGTTTTAAAACACCAGTATCCACAGTGTTGCCTTCTCTGCTAGTCCCTTTTACAAACCATAATGCTATTGTGCTCTCCTTGATAGGTCGATTTATACAGTGACATTGTAAACCTCAAAATACAAGCTGGTTTTTTTTTTTTTTTTTTTTTTTTTGTGTGTGTGTGTGTGTGTGTGTGTGTGTGTGTGTGTGTGTGTGTTTCCCGGTACTGGGGATCAAACTCAGGCAGGCACAGCACCATTGAGCTACATCCTGGGCCCCCTACATGCTGCTTTGATATACGGCACCAAGTAATCAAAAAATAGTATAGAAATAAACAAAAATAATCCTCCCAACGTGCTAGATATCCAAAATGCCAGGTCATGTTCTCTAAAATTGAAGAATTCTAAGAAGAACAAAGGTTAAGAGTAGGAAACATTTATTGAGAGAAGGATAGCAAGGTGGACTGGAAAGTGGGTTGCCCACCCACCCCACTTTTCAAAGGTATTTTATAGGACAAAGCCTTTAGGTGAGGCAGGTACAAAAATGAAACAACACTAGAACCTTTCCTAAAATGTACCAATCAACTCAATGAGAAAAAAAAAAAAATGAGACAAAACGCTAAGAACCAATGGAAAATTACAAGGTGGCCATGAGGTGGGACAAGGCCATGATCAACCAGTAAGATTACAAGTACAGTTACCCAGGTAACATGGATTAAACGGATCAAGTGGGAATATAAGTCACATTCAAGAAATTTCAGAAGGGAAATGGGCTAAGGAGATTGATGCCTATTTAGAATATCAGTCACTGCTATTTATACCCAGGGGAAGTAAGTGGGTACAGTATTTTTTTCTCCTTTTATAATGCTAACCACTGAATGTATTTCAATTGTCCTCCCCAGCCCTGTCTAACTGCCTACAAGATATCTAATTTACCTATCTACAATAAGTTCATCAAAAGCAAAATATATTCACAAAGCAAATTTAATTAAAATATTAATAAAGGTGGAAGCATCAGTGAATGGAGAGTTCCTAATGAGGTAAAAATGTCTCACCATCCAAGCATAAATATTCCCAAGTATATAGTCTTTCCAAAGGTCTTAAAAGATTAAACCGATGCTCTTAAAAGCCAGTCAACTACATTACCAAGTTAGCACTTTCCTTTCCTATGTACAATGAGTGATGGGATTGGGGTTTGGAAAAGGAAACTGGACTCTCAAACTGGCCGTTCTGAAGAAAATGGCCAGGACTCAAAAGGAAAAAGAAATAGTAACTGGAAAATGGTTTTGCAGAAGGACCTCCTTTAGGAAGGTGGGTTCCCACAACTGTGGTTGAAATCCTCATGAGGTAACAGTGTTTACCAAAAGAAAGTGGGCTCATTATAGGATAAATAAGAAAATATACTTTCCAACTAATTTTAAAGAGAATGCTAAATACATTATACATACAAATGGACTATGGGATTTGATCATCTCATATTTTGTTAGGCAGAACACAGGCACTCTAAAAGCCAAATATTATGCTTTTTAGCTCCTACTGTCATGGGAAAATATGAAATATGAAATATATCTCCCAACCTATTAACTGAATGATATACCAAGTTCTTGTTCTCTAGAAATTGAAGAATGAGTTCTAGGAATGATGGAGGTTGAAAGTGGGAAGATATTTATTGATAGGAAAGCTTTTGAGAGGTAGGAGGGGTCCTGAGTGGGGAGCCAGGGACCCCACTTTACAGAGAAGTTTTATAGGGTGAAACCCATGTGGGTATAACATGGGCCACAGCCACGAACATCCAATAAGGTTACAAGTGTAGTCACTTAGGTAATGGTGGTCCAATTGGGAAGCAAGTTATGTAGCAAGTGTGGGTGGAAAGAACCAGGATTCTCCTAGGAGGCAGTGGGTCCAGAGGTCTCTGGTCACTCCCAGGGTAGTCGATGCCTATCTGTACTTCAGTAAGCCCAGTTCTTGGAAGAACTATGTGGGTCTGGCCATCTTGTCTCCATCTTGAGGCCTGGTTTTCAGCTGACCTGCAGCTTTGGTGTGTTTCACCTTTGTCCTGGCCCTCTTGAGGATTTAGCCCTATCTGACTGCCTACAATATTTCTACTTACCTTATCTATCTATAGTACTTTAATGTTTGCCTAAATTGAACACCTCCCCAAGGTAAACTGATCCCTCTTTATGAAGCAAAATCTACTGAGTCTCACTCCACTTTTTTCAATCCCTAATTCTCTCCTACAAGTCTATAACTCATTTTATTACACCCACCAAATGTTTTCCTATTGCTTGGAATGCTATACATTTATTTTTTTGGTGGATGCACCAGACTTTCAAGATTCTTTTCAAAACAGAATGATCCTTTTTATTTCATGATATTATATTCCACCCTATTTATTGCTTTCCAGGATTTCTATCATTAATTAAAGGGCCTCCTTTTACCTCTCTTTCCAAAAAGGGGAAAAAATAAATAAAACCTAACCTATTCCCCAATTGCCTATCAAAGACTCAATAAAACTCAGTCTATCATAGTAGCAGTGATGGTCATGCCAATTTCATTGTGGCTGGTGCATTCATTTCATTTGAAATGACCCTACCCTCCATCTGTCTAAGCCGAATGTTCTGCTTTTTTCAAGCCAGGCCTCTGGAGCAGCATCACATGAAACAAGGAGGAAAACACAGAATGTCCTCCCTCCTGCCCACTTCACCTACCATGCTCACAAACAGGTAGCAACACAGAGAAAAAACCTCAAACTGATTCTTCTGGGGATCAAGTTTATTTGAGGGAGACCAGGCAGTCCTTTTATTTCTCATAAACTTTCAAGAACTCATTTGAAGGTGAAAGTTTTGATCAAGTAAGTATAACTTGTGAAATAGAATGACTAAAATAATAAAGGGCAATTCCTTGTTTCTGTGTTCTTTTATAACTCCATTTAATAGCAACTTACCTAAGGTAACAGTGCATACATAAGGATTTTAAAATACTGTGGCTAAGTTTCTAAGGAATAAGAGTCAGGCAGGCAGTCAGCTGTAAGAGAGAAGACACATAGCCTCTCATTATTGATCATCAATAGCCACCCTCCTCCACCTATGTACCTTCCTGGGTATAAGTTCCTAAAAGAGTACACCCTAGATCAGAATGAAAAAAGCCTCAGCTCATAGTTATAAAAGTAACCCTCAGCTGCTCTTGTTCTCACCCAGTAAGACAAAATTCCATCAATTCTCAGCAAGAGAGAAGACTGAAAAGAAACTAATGTCATTTATTCTATGATGTGAGCAACTGCCCAGCTACTGAACTCTACTTTCTTTTTCCTCATTGAGTTTATTGGTACATTTTAGGTATACGGTACAGTTACATTCATTACTGGGACCTTGTACCTCTACATGACAAGTCTTGGTTCTCATTTTTTCCCCTTGTCCCTCCCCTCCCTTCACCCCTTACTGAACTCTACTTGTGACATTAGGTGATTGAGTAGGAGCTACGGACTCTCACAAATCATTTCCTAACATCTGCTTGCAGCTGCAGTTGGGACTAGGAAGTTCAAATTCTTGTGCTCACAGAAAGTTAGCTGATAGTTGAATGAAAGAACAAAAAAACCCAGTTATCTTCCTTTACATTTCCTTGGCACCAAAAGCCTTTACAAACTCTATAGGAGATATACGGATTGGGTTATTTACAATCTTCTATTTGCTCTGGAGCTTAGCTGTTGGATAGCAAGGCTGAGCATCTATGAACCTCGTTGTAGTCTTGAGCAAATTAGATAAACCTTTAAATAAACTAGCCCAGAATATTTTATCAATATACATATTACAGGATGATTATTGACATTCGGTATAATTATGTGAATCGCCTATAAAACAGCTGGAGTGGGTTCTGAAATTTACACATAGAGAAGACAGTGAACTTGTCAATCACTAGAGATGACCAAAATAAGAACTTTCGCCCACTGAACCACTGTACTTTGCTTTTAAGAAATGTACCCTTAAGACAGCATAAAAAGAACCAATTCTTAACTTAAAGAGGATTCTAAAAAAGATAACCCAACTTTTTCATCTTGTTCCAGCCGCTAAAAAAACACCAAACGACACTGTTATGATACAACACGAGGTGTAAAAGTCTTAATATCTCTAAGGACTTTAGGCCTTAAACCTCCACAGTCCCAGAGACCCAGGTGGGACAACACACACAGCCAGCAACACTCACTTTAACAAAGAAAAGTCTGATATTCCCGTACATTAGACATCAAATACCTTTAGTGTGCTTTTTATTGCTCTTGAAAAAACAAAACAAGGCAGGTGACGCCTCACGACGCGAAGTTTGCATTGAAAACTACGTCTCCCAGCAGGCAGCGTAGCCACGAACCGGAAAAAACGTTCTGGCGCGGTGCATGCCGAGGCGCGGAGTTTACGTCCCTGAATCGCTAGGAGCCCTTTCCTCTCTCACCAAATCATGTTACTACGGAGTTTGGAGTATACTAGGACCTGACAAGAAATTGAGAGAATCATACGACTGATTCTGTTTTATTCCTGAGGGCTTCTTTCCTCTCCAAACTAACTTCTGACAAATTTCCGTTTCCGGTTGGCTCGTTACCTTGGAAACCAACAAACTCAGCAATCCGGGCAGTTATGGTGGGAATGAACAGCACCCCGATCCCCGACGGTGAGTTCACCGCGGTGGTGTACCGACTCATCCGCGATTCTCGCTTCTCCGAAGCGGTGCAGCTGCTGGCCGCTGAGCTGCAGCGGAGCCCGAAGAGCCGCGCCGGCCTGTCGCTGCTGGGCTACTGCTACTACCGCCTGCAGGAATTCCTGCTGGCCGCAGAGTGCTATGAGCAGCTGAGCCAGCTGCACCCAGAACTCGAGCAGTACCGCCTCTACCAGGCCCAGGCTCTGTACAAGGCCTGCCTCTATCCAGAGGCCACTCGGGTCACCTTCCTCCTCCTGGACAACCCGGCCTATCACAGCCAGGTCCTCCGCCTGCAAGCTGCTATCAAGTACAGTGAGGGCGATCTGCCAGGGGCCAGGAGCCTAGTAGAGCAGTTGCTGAGTGGGGAAGCAGGAGAAGAGAGTGGGGGAGAGAATGACCGCGATGGCCAGATCAACCTGGGTTGTTTGCTGTACAGGGAGGGCCACTACGAAGCTGCGTGTTCTAAGTTCCTTGGGGCCCTGCAGGCTTCAGGGTACCAGCCAGACCTTTCCTACAACTTGGCGCTGGCTTATTATAACAATGGGCACTATGGCCAGGCTCAGAAGCATATCTCCGACATTATTGAGCGTGGCATCCGTCAGCACCCTGAGCTCGGCGTGGGCATGACCACTGAGGGCATAGATGCTCGCAGTGTTGGCAACACCTCAGTCCTCCACCAGACTGCCCTGGTGGAAGCCTTCAACCTCAAGGCAGCCATAGAGTACCAGCTGAAAAACTACGAGGCGGCTCAGGAAGCCCTCACTGACATGCCACCTAGGGCAGAGGAAGAGTTGGACCCTGTGACCCTGCACAACCAGGCACTCATGAACATGGATACCAGGCCTACAGAAGGACTTGAAAAGCTACAGTTCTTGCTCCAACAGAACCCCTTCCCTCCAGAGACTTTTGGCAACCTCTTGCTGCTGTACTGCAAGTATGAGTATTTTGACCTGGCAGCAGATGTTCTGGCAGAAAATGCCCATTTGACTTATAAGTTCCTCACACCCTATCTCTATGAATTCCTGGATGCCATGATCACTTGCCAGACGGCTCCAGAAGAGGCCTTCATAAAGCTCGATGGACTAGCAGGGAAGCTGACTGAGCAGCTCCGGAAACTCACCAAGCAAGTACAGGAAGCAAGACATAACAGGGATGAAGAAGCTGTTAAAAAGACAGAGAATGAATATGACGATACCCTTGAGAAATATATTCCTGTATTGATGTCCCAAGCAAAAATCTACTGGAATCTTGAAAATTATCCAATGGTGGAAAAGATCTTCCGCAAATCTGTGGAATTCTGTAATGACCACGATGTGTGGAGGCTGAATGTAGCTCATGTTCTGTTCATGCAGGAAAACAAATACAGGGAAGCCATTGGTTTCTATGAACCCATAGTCAAGAAGCATTACGATAACATCTTGAATGTCAGTGCCATTGTATTAGCTAACCTCTGTGTTTCCTATGTCATGACCAGTCAAAATGAAGAAGCTGAGGAGTTGATGAGGAAGATTGAAAAGGAGGAAGAGCAGCTGTCATATGATGACCCAGATAAGAAAATCTACCATCTCTGCATTGTGAATCTGGTGATAGGAACACTCTATTGTGCTAAAGGAAATTACGACTTTGGCATTTCTCGGGTTATCAAAAGCTTGGAACCTTACAATAAAAAACTGGGAACTGATACCTGGTACTATGCCAAAAGATGCTTCCTTTCCTTATTAGAAAACATGTCAAAGCACATGATAGTGCTTCGTGATAGTGTTATTCAGGAGTGTGTGCACTTTCTGGAACACTGTGAACTTCATGGCAGAGATATACCTGCTGTTATAGAGCAACCGCTTGAAGAAGAAAGGATGCATATTGGGAAGAACACAGTCACTTATGAGTCCAGGCAGTTGAAAGCTTTGATTTATGAGATTATTGGATGGAATGTGTAGGTATAGCTGGTAATGGCTTTTGTGAAAATCTGTTTCACACTGTTTTGCATTTATCCTTGGCATTTTTATATCATTTATGTTGAATTTTGCATACTTATAATAGCCTATATTGTGTTTGAAGAACTTTTTTTTTTTTTTAATTTTATTGAGTTTATTGGTACATTTTAGGGATACAGTACAGTTACATTCATTGTTGGGATCATGTACCTTTACATGGCAAGTCTTGATTCTCATTTTTTCCCCTTACCTCTGCCCTCCCTTCACCCCCTCCTCCCCTCCCCATCTACAAACACTTTATTTTCATCTTTTCATTCTCTCACATTTTTTTCTTTTCCCTTTTTGTTCTTCCCCTACGCATCACACCTTCCCTACACCTTTAGCTCCTTTCTTCAAATTTCTAAATGTCAGTAATCTTATTAGAATCTTATGCATTGTTGCAGAATATTCACACCAGGGAAACTATTTGGTATTTACACATGTGTGACTTATTTATTTCACTTAGGAGTATATCTTCAATATGTATCCATTTTCCTATGAATGAATCTATTCTCTCGCTCTTTATGGCTGAGTAATATTCCATTTTATAGAAAAACCACAACTTCTTTATCCAGTTTCCAACGGATGGGCAAATAGGTTGTTTCCAAGATTTAGCTATTACAAACTGTGCCGCTATAAACATGGGTGCACATACTTCTCTGTGATATGATTCTTTTAGTTCTCTTGGAAAGATACCCAACAGAGGGATGGCTGGGTCAAATGGAACCTCCAGTCCAAGCTCTTTGAGGTATCTCCATATTGATTTCCATAGTGGTTGCACTAGTCTGCACTCCCACCAACAATGGAGGAGGGTTCCTTTCTCCCCACAACCCCGCCAACATTTGTTATTGTGTGATTTCTTGATAGCAGCCATTCTTTGTGGGGTGAGGTGGAATCTCAGTGTTGTTTTCATCTGCATCTCTCGAATGACCAGTGATGTGGAACATTTTTTCATATATTTTCTTGCTGCTTTCACTTCTTTGTATGAGAAATGTCTGTTCATTTCGGATGCCCATTTTTGGATCGGGTCTTTATATTTGGGGGGACTGATTGTTTTGAGTTCTTTATATATCCTTGATAATAGTCCTTTGTCTGAGGTACAGCTGGTAAAAATTTTTTCCCACATTGTAGATTGTCTCTTAGTTCTGCTAATGGTTTCTTTTGAAGTACAGAAGCTTTTTAGTAAGATGAGATCCCAGTTGTTGATTCTTTCTGCTAGTTCCCGTGCTACTGAGGATTTGTTCATAAAGTCTTTTCCTATACCAATGTCTTCCAGAGTTCTGCCTAACTTACTTTCCAGCAAGTTTAATGTTTCTGTTTTAATATTTAGATCTTTAATCCATTTGGATTTTAATTTAGTGCATGGCGAAAGATAAGGGTCTAATTTTAATCTGTGACAGGTTGATATCCAGTTTTTCCAACACCATTTATTAAAGAGGCTATCTTTCCTCCACTGAGGATGGTGAGCTCCTTTGTCAAAGATGAGGTAGCTGAGTACATCTGCATTTGTTTTTGTGTCTTCCAGTCTGTTCCATTGATCCTCAGGCCTATTTCTTTGCCAGTACCATGCTGTTTTTATCACAGTGGCTATGTAGTATAGTTTCAAATTGGGAATTGTTACACCTGGTGCCATGTGACTGTTGCCTATAATGGCTTTTGCTATTCTAGGTCTCTTGTGGTTTCAAGTGAATTTTTGGATTCTTTTTTCTAGTTCTGTGAAATATAGTGTTGGAATTTCAATTGGCATTGCATTGAATGTATATAGTAGTTTTGGTAGTATGGCCATTTTCACTATGTTGATTCTTCCTACCCAGGAGCAGGGGATATCTTTCCATTTTTTTATATCCTTGAAGAACTTTTCTATTAAGGTTTGTAAGGACTGTACAGTTTCAGCTGAAGCACATCTGCCATCTTTCTGTTACAATCACCGGATCTTGCCTTGGGGTAATAATTGCTTCAGTGATATCTTTGTATAAGGAAGTAATCCTTAATAGCAGTTGATACTGAACTGACATAGTGGCATTAGCCAAAAATGGAACCATTTCTTAGCAAGTGAAGAGAGGTTTTTACCATCCTACATAAACTTGCTGTCCAGTAAATCTCATTCTTAACTCTATGCCTCTAGTTGTTTATAGTCCTTCACTTTCTAGATCTCAACTGAGTCCACTTTGGACCTGGATCTAAGCTTTTTGAAAGTGCAGTAGTCTGTGGTGGGAATCTCCTTGGTTCTCTTCATCATATGAAATTTGGTGAATGATTTAATTATTCTATAATTGGGTTAAATCTTAAGTTTTGTAATCATTGTTTTATTTTTCCAGAATAGATTTTCTTTCCCTGTGATACTAACAAATGCTTTCTAATCTGTAGGAAAAATCAGAACTGAACTGAGAAAGAAAAGACTAAGGTATACATCCCAGACCTTCTATAGTAGGTAAATCTTAAGAAATTCATTTACTCCTTGGCATCTAAATCATTTAAACTACTAGATGCTCTTTACAGTTATTTTTGACTATAACATCTGATTCTGAAAAAAACGTATAGAGGAAAGTTGCCTTTCTTCTTTTGTGACCTGGCTGTAGTAACAACTCAATCAGGAAATAGAATATATAACTATTCAAATAAATATTTTCTGATAGTTTTGCTTACCACAAATGTTAGCCCCTCAAGGTAGATTTTTTTTTAAACATTTTATTATTGAACAATGCAACATATTCATTACTAAGAAATTTGGATTTTTGTCATTTAACTTGGAGTTTTTGCTTATAATTCTATGAATGTGTATAGGGCAGACCCTAATATCTGAGGTGGTCGTGCCTAAATTATTAATTTTGTAAATATTTAGAAATTACAAACTTTCTGTTTCTCTTTTAATTTATTGAATAACTTATGTCTTTGAGGAAGGAAGATTGTTTTTAATTCTTCCCCCAAACGATAAATTACCTTTCAGTTTGAGAGTTTTCTAGGCAAGCGTTTATTTTTATTTTTTAACAGTAGCAAAATTTTATTAAGTGTAGAAAAAGCAACAGGCTTTGCAGAACAAGTTTGGACTAAGTGAAAACAGGAAAAGAGGAGCAGGAGAGAGCCATCATGCAGGAGAGAACATGCATCCTTCTTGTAGCATAGGGGACAGAGACAGGCAAAGAAGAAAAAAATCTCTGTGGCATTTTAGAGAGAAACAAGAAAGATGTACCCATAGGACAGATATGTTAACCAGGTTTTGGGGTGCTGGGGACTCCTTGAGATGTTTTCTAGGTCCTTTCTGTCCTGAGAAAAACATTGCTTTCTCTTGGAGTGTTTTCTTTTCCTGCCTTCAAAGCACTTATGTAAGAGGTTGTGGTGTTTACTGCTTCATAATGTATCATAAGATAAGAAATGAAAAATTCATTTTCCTTACCAAGCCCCTTTTCTTTTCCTTTTTATCTTCTCTATTTTGTCAATTACAGGAACACTTCTCTGATAGCTGGCAGCTGAGACCTCAGCCAGTTATAAAATATACATACCATACCTTTTAAAGTGTCAGATGAGCTAGCACTATGATTATAGAAACCTGTTAGCCTTGGATTTTTGTAAATTGAGATAACATTTCTTGAGAGAAAATGACTCCAGATTGGTAACACCAGAGAAAAATTTAAAAGGATTCACCAAAAGCACTGTAACTGTATGCATTGTAATTTGTAGAATACATTGAGCTTTATATTTGCAGTAATTCCCCATATTTTTGAAACTCTGACTTTAATAGAAAATTTAATATAAAATTTCAAAGATATGAAATTTTTTTATTTAAAATGTTCTGTGACATTGGGAATTAAATACACTCAACTCTAGAGGACACTTGCTTTTTGGTATCCCTAACATCTAATACTAAAAAATAGAGCCAACCAGGGCTGGGGATTTGTCTCAGTGGTTCCACCACCTGCTTTGCAAGTACAAGGTCCTGAGTTCAATCCCTGGTACCCTGCCCACAAAAAATAGAGCCAACCATTAGCCAGAAGGTAATTAATTGATTAGCCATACATAACAGTCTCTTGGGAAGTAAGTTATTGCGAAATGATTATACTTGAGTCTGTCATTAATTGAGGTTTTTTGGTTTAATAAATTGTCTACATTGAATTTAGGCCAAGACTGATCCACCAGGTACTAAAATCCTTCCTACAATATTATAATGTGTATATGTTAGAAAAGGAGTTGTCTTTATAGAGAAAAATTATTATAAAATTGTTCTGTGTACTTTTCTAGCATGAAAGAAGCATTTGTTAAAATGTCGTAGCTTGAATGTAAATATTACCAAGTAAACATGTAAAATGAGCCCAAGTTCTTGTTCAAAAGTGAAATTTGCACATTTGTAAGATTAAATATTATCAATGGCTGGGTAACTTAGTTCAAAGCAATAAATGGCTAAAATTGAACTGTGCAAATAGGACCCTAAAAAGTATGTACAAAGTATTTATTGCTTTTATTATTTTGTTTGCAATTTTTGTTTGTTTGTTTGTTTTGTATCGGGGGGTCAAATTCAGGACCTTATGCTTGCCAGGCAGGCACTGAGCCAAATCCCCAGTCCTACAATTATTTTATTAGGAGAAGAAAATGCTTATATACTAAAGGACACGTGATTAATTAAAAGTCTCACTAACACTCATGGCAACTGCTATAAAAAGTATACGCACAGAGTCCCTGGGAACTCTTTTAAGATTATGGTATGTATGAGTCAGCAGCAACTCACTTACAGGTTACTTTGCTGGTCACACTCTATTCTGTGAAAACCTCTTAGTCCCAGTTATTCTAAATTTGCCAAAATCATATCCTATAGTTTATTTATGTACCTCATAAATGGAAAAGAGAATATGTACATTTGGGAATAGTAATGTTCCATTCTTAAGTCAAGAAGTATTACGGCAAGAGATAGTTACATCCTAACATTGTAGGACAAAAGAAATCTCTAGGAATTAGGCAATAACAGAAGCATTTGTCTGAAAAGATCTTGTTGCAAGGAAAACCACATACGTACTCATCTATGTCATTATTTTGGTGTTTTTATGGTTTATTTTTTGTATTTAGGTACTGGGGATCGAACTCAGGACCTTGCACTTGCAAGGCAGACGTCGGCACCACTGAGCTAAATCCCTGGACCCTATGCCATTATTC